AAATCAGTTGGCCATATGTTTGAGGGGTTATTTCTGGAGTCTCTTCTCTGTTGCATTGGTCCACATTTCTATTTTTGTTCCAGTACCATGCTGTTTTGATTTTCACAGCTTTGTAATATATTTTGGGTCAGGGATTGAGGTGCCTCCTAGTCCATTATTTTTGCACAGGATTGCTTTGGCAATAAGGAGTCTTTTATGATATTTTTACATCTTTAGTCAGAGTTATTGGTATATAGTTTCTTTTTTATTAATAATTTCTATAGAAAAATTATTATAATTTGATTTTTCTATACATGAATACAGTATGTAATGATTAAATTGCATTGATTAGTATACCCATCATCTCAACCATTTGTAACATCACATATAATTTCTGTACAATAAAATTCACCTCTTCAAATATATAGTTAGATGAATTTTTAAAAGAGACCATAGTTCTATAAACGCCACCGTTTACCTGCTAATGAAAACTTGGAACTGTTTCCAGTTTGGGGTTGTTATGAATAAATCGACTATGAATATTCATGTATAAGTCTGTGTAGAGACTTGATTTCAAGTTGATGTGCAAACACCCAGCTCACAATTCACACATGAACCTTCTTGGGTAATTCCCTAAAAGTAGGATTATTTTATCATTAAGAAAGAATATGCCAAACTGTATTAAAAACTGCTAAGAAAATTTCTAAAATGGTTGTACTATTTTATATTCCCACTAGCAATGTGTTAGATTTTAAAAAAAAAACGTTATTTATTTACTTTTTTTACATTTTCCCACAAACATTTACCCTACATATCAAAAATTTTACTCATACTTCATAGTTCTTGACAGTTAATAGATAAACAAAGTTCAACTTTACAAAACCCCTGAACTTTAAAGATAATTTTCAAAATATCTGTTTTAATTTTGGTTGTGACTCTATAATACAGAGACAGTGTGTTTTTAAATATTTTTGAAAAAATATTTACACATCAACTACTCAAACTTGAAAACCAAACACCCAGAACACAATTCATACATAAACTTTCCCAACTCAGTTCTGGCTACCAAAAATATTCTGTGGTTTACCATCTTCTAGCAAAGGTCAAGTCTTCTTTTCTTCCTTCAAAGTCTTTCTCAAGGTAATCCACTGGTTGTGGCTGCTCTTTTACAATCTCTATTGATTACACTGCTGGGCTGGAAAAGTCCAGGTTAGTTTACGGTACTAATTTTTTCACATGGTTTCTTTAATCCTCTCTGCCAGGTAGAACTGTTTATGGTGCCAGGCAATCTTGCCAAGAGCTTCTGTTGACTTTCTTGAAATCTCCTTTAGTTCTATAGCTTTCTGGTCATATCTTCAGATAGGGCATTCTAGTCAAAGCCCTGGTAGGAACATTTATTTCCAATTTCTGATGCAAGACAACAGGTATTCTTGAAATTATGCAAATAACCATTCTGTGACAAAATAAGAATGCTCACAAGTATTTTCCAATTCCAAAGGGGTCAGGAAGAAAGAAAAATATATGTTTCACTCTTTAAAAAAGTGTACGAGGTTTCTAATTGATTCACTTTTTTGCCAGCACATGGTATTGTCAGTCTATTTAAATTTAGCTACTACTGTATGTTAGAAAAAAATGTCTTCTGGTGGTTTTAATTTGTATTTCCTTAATGAAAAATAATATTAAGTATCTTTTCATATGCTTACTGGTATTTGTTTATCTTCTTTGATCATGTGTGTTTGTTCAAATATTTTGCCAATTTTTACTCTGTTAATGGCCCTAAAATTGGGTTAGAAGAGTTCTTTTTGTATTCTGGATACAAGTCCTTTCTCAACTATGTGATTTGCAAATCACATTTCTTCCAGTATTGGTTTGTATTTTTATCATTTTATTTATTAAATATACATAATTGTGGCTTGCAGTAATTTTGGGGGTCCATGAATACAATGTATAATGACCAAATCAGCATAATTAACAGATCCATATTCTCAGACATATGTCTTTACTTTATGTTGAGAACATTCAAAATTCTGTCTTTTGGGCTATTTTGATATATACAATGAATTATTGTTAACTGTAATTAACCTACTTTGCTACTGGGGGCTATGGGAACCGGCGGTTAGCGTAATGGCTATGTCGCTGGGACTCCCACGTAGTCGACTGCGGTTCACGTCCCGGGCCTGGTGGCTTAGAACTCATGCTGGGCACGTGTGCGTGCGTGCCCAAGATCCCGAGAGGAGAATGGAGGAGAAGGGATTGTGGCGTGACCATCCCCTCTGGGGGGTGATTTCTCGCTTTCTGTCTCTCTGCCTCTCTCTGTCTGTCTGGCGAGCGCACGCGCCCTATAGCAAAAAAAAAATTCTCAGAAAAAAAAAAAAAAGAACTGGGGGCTAGCAAATTGTGTAATGGTTACAACACCAGATTCCCATATGGCCAACCACAGTTTGAGTCCCAGACCCAGTGGCTTGAAAATCACTCTGGGCATGTATGCATGCATGCCCATGATCCTGGGAGGAAAGTGAAAGAGAAGGGATTGTGGCATGAGCATCCCCCAAGGGGGCAATGTTCGACTTTCTTTATGTCTCTGTCTCTGTCTCTCTCTTTCTCCCCAGTGAGTGCACATGCTCTAAGACAAAAACCTCTTAAAAAAAGTCAAAAACTTATATCTCTTATCTAAATATAATTTTATATTCATTAGCCCAAATCTCTCTAATCTTTCTTCTACCTTTCCATTCTTTAACTCTAGTAACTTCTATTCTCTGTTTATGAGGTCTTTCAGTTTCCACACATGAGTAAGAATATATTCTATTTATCTTTCTGTGCTCAGCTTATTTTACTTCACATAATGCCCTCCATGCTCATCTGTGTTGCCTCAAATTACAAGATTTCCCTCATTTTTACAGCTAAATAGTATTCTTTTATTTTCTTCACTGTCTTTTGAGGAGCTGAGTTCCTGTTGTTGTTTGTTTTGTTGTTGTTGTTTGTTTTTATGAAGTTGTTATAAGTTTTATGCTTTTTTTTTTTGAGAGGTTTTTGCTATAGGGCGCGTGCGCTTGCCAGGAAGACAGAGAGAGACAGAGAGACAGAAAGCGAGAAATCACCCCCCAGAGGGGATGGTCACGCCACAATCCCTTCTCCTTTCTCCTCTCGGGATCTTGGGCCCGCACACACACGCGCCCAGCATGAGTTTAAGCCACCGGGTCCAGAACGCGAACTGCAGTAGACTATGTGGCAGTCCAGCAACATAGCCATTGTGCTAACTACTGGTCCCACAAGTTTTATGCTTTTTGTATTCTGTTTAAGAAATTTTTGACTTAGGACCAGCAGATGGCATAATGGTTACATTGCTGGACTCCCACATAGTCAACCATGGTTCAAGTTCCAAACCTGGCAGCTTAAAACTTATGCTGGATTGGGACCACCAGTTAGCGTAATGGCTATGTTGCTGGACTCCCACATAGTCGACCGCGGTTTGCATCCCAGACCCGGTGGCTTAAACTCACGCCGGGCGCGTGTGTGTGCATGCCCAAGATCCCAAGAGGAGAATGGAGGAGAAGGGACTGCTGCATGGCCATCCCCCCTGGGGGGTGATTTCTCGCTTTCTGTCTCTCTGTCTATCTCTGTCTGTCTGGTGAGCGCACGCACCCTATAGCAAAAACCTCTCAAAAACAAACAAACAAAAACAAACATAACAAAACAAGAAAACAACTTATGCTGCGTGCATGTGTATGAGTGCCCAAAATCTCAAGGGGAGAATGGAGGAGAAGTTATTGTGGCATGGCCATCCCCTTGGGGGATGATTTCTTGCTTTCTGTCTCTCTATCTCTCTCTGTCTCTCCTGGAAGAAAATGCGACCTATAACAAAAATCTCTCTAAGACTAAAAAAAAAAATAAATCACAATGATTTCCTCCTTAATTTTCTTCTAGAAATTTTATAGTTTTAGATTTTATAGCTCTATAATTCATTTCTTGTTAAATTTTGTATATGATATGAAGTAAGATTGATAGTCATTTTTTAAATGTGGATTTCAGTTACTCTTTTTTTTGAAGACTATTATTTTTTTTTCATAAGTTAATTTATTCTATAAGTCAGAGAAAAAGACAGAAATATCACACCTTTTGCAGAGTCACAACACAGCAATTCAGCCTCAGCTTCTGTCTGCCCTGAATCATCAAGTACTTGCATGCTCAGACTATTATAGTTTCCCACATGCAAACCTACAACCTTCCCATGTGGGTCTGCCTCAAGGAGTGTTATGTTTTAGCACTACACTACTCCCTACCTCCCTGAAAAACTGTAGTTTTTCTTTATCCATTGAATTACAGTCACAGAAATGTTAAATGGCCTACTTGTTTAGAGTTATCAGTAGGCTTGACATTAGAATACTCTTAAATCCTAACCCAGTGCTCTTTCCC